TGCAGGCTTAACAACTCAAATTAAATGGAGTAGCCTAATACAGAAACGTATTTTATATTGGTTTTAATAATTTTGTGGCTAATTATGAATGTATTTGATTTATTCATGCTGTAATTTATATGCCAAGGACTTAACAAACACATCTTCATTTCAAAAGGTTTTTGTGTGATATTTCAAGGTAATCTTAGGACTGCTACAGGCATATGTAATGGTGGCTTCATATACAAATTTACCGAAACAGAAAATTACCTAGAAGATTTCCAAATTTTCATTTTAGTACAATTTGACCCACACATTCATTTTTTTGGACCCACATTGTACAACGGTTTGTTATTTCCCTATACCCCAGTATGATGTAAAATGTTTTAAAATGCAATATCCAATAAATATTGTCTATCTACTTCAGTCCTTTGCAGTCAAGAATGTACTGTAGATCAGGCTGTGGTGGACTTAGGAAAGTCAGAAATTTTATTTTTACTTACGCAGCATTGTCAAGAGTTAGAACAATTGAGGGCTTGCTTATTTGAGCCATTTTCAATAGAGAGAGTCAAAAGCATATATAAGAGAAGGGTGTACTTTCCTGTTAAAGGGAACATTCATTATTATCGATGATTTTTTTTTCTCGATATATCGATATTAACAAATTGAAACATATCAGCTGACAACTACGATAAATAAAATATTGTTCAGAATCAACAAACAATAATAAATTTTAAAAACATATTGAAATGAAACTAACCTATGTTCTAAACTAACCTAACAAAACTAACCAAACTTGCTGTAACATTTAAAAACTCCGTTTAATATTATCCACTCGTCGTTTCTGTTATCAAACGGAATTTTTAAATGATACAGCAAGTTTGGTTCGTTATGACGTTAGATTAGCTTATAACAGTTTCATTTCTTAATCCATATAATAGAAATAGACTATATTTTAGCCTAAAGATCAGCTGTCAATTTGTATCGTAAAGGAAAACAAAAGTATCGATATACTGTATCGAGAGAAAAAAAATCATCGATAATAATGAATATTCCCTTTAACAGGAAAGTACCAAGAGAAGCAAATGGTAAGTAAATAAAAACGATATGGCAAGACTTAAGTAAATTGCTTATAACGATGGGTAAAAACCATGAGGTGTCTTGATCAATAACATTTACTCATGTTTTATGTTGTAAACTATATAAATTGTCGCGGATTTATAAGTTTGTTCTAATTTAAGTAAATATATAAATGTGGAAGCGTGAAAGAAGTTTTATTTTTGACAATTAAAGTATTTAAGTTTCAGTTAACATTATCTTTTTGCTATTAGTTCAACTATAGTCCAATTCACATTATTTTCTTTTTATAATCACAACATATGGTATTAATAACATATGTTACAAACAGTCTTTTTGGAACTGTTATGGCTTTGCCGCACTCCGGCCATTTGAGAAATTTCTTCAACGCACCTGGTTATAGTCTCATCACGGTTAATTTCAAGAGGGTAGAGTAATTTTAAAGGTCGATTTATTTTCTTTTTGTTGCTTGAAGTGCATCTTATGCTATGTCGAGCAATCTGTCACTATAGTTATTAAAAGAAGGAAGTTAACTCAAAATAAAAAGTTTAATAGGCTACTCAATGATCAGAAATCTAAAGAATCAATCTAGTGCCAACAAAGTTTGTCAATCTAAATCAAATTCGGTGTCTGAACAGATTGGGGTTTTATAATACAATTTTGTAGGAAGGCAAACTAGGAGTAACACGATAAACACGATGGCTTAAAAAAAAACCCCAAAACACATTTTTGATTAAGAGCTCAAATGAGCCAGAAAAGACGTTGGAAGTCGAGCGGAACCCTTTTGTCCGAAGCTCCAAGGTTCAGAGGTCGCCACCACCGAAAAACGTGAGGACATCTCCCCCACCTGCTACCACCAAATGCACTAAGGAGTTCCCCCATTTAGGATCTCCTTCGGCAAGTGGAGCTGGGAACGGTGCGGAAAACTTTGGAGATGCAGGCGTCGAGCTGGCGTTGCCAGCAACTCCCCTGCCGATAAGTTCTGTTGTAGGGATGCCCGAGGAGCCTTTCACAGCAACGTTGAGGTCGGAAGGCTCTGAGATGGTGCTTCTGCGTCAGAAATATCTTGACGCAGAGGTTAACATCGAAACCCGCCTGCGAGACATGGAAGAGACGATTAAAGCTATGCTGGACACCTTCCGGACCCAGAAAGCCGTAAACCAAGTTGTTAAAAACGGCATGGCCAAACTAGAGGATGACCTTGGCTTCGTTTTTGCCTGCCGGGGGGTGAGCAAGGTGGCGATGGAGAAGAGTACCGAGAAGGTTGTGTCTCTGTCACACGAAAGAACGCTACCTTCTAAGAAACGTAAGAGGCCTTCCACATCGGACAAAAAAGAGAAGAAGGAGTCCAGACCAAAAGGACCACGGTAAAGGCCAAGGCGACTCAGACAAACCTATTAATGCTGTGCCCAGATCCTTTTCGGACGTAGCTGCAGCTCCAGTGAAGCACCTACAGCTACAGCTACCTACGACCCCCCTTCAGGGAAGTTCCCGAAAGGGGTCAGTTGTAGAGACAACTAGGGCTGCGTGGGAAAAACGCCGTTCCCGAAAGGAGGAGAGGCAATTGAGGCGGACGGAGGTCACCTCTATAAAGAATGTGGCAGTGAAGGCACAGCCGACCGGCGTGGCCCAACCTAGGCCCGGCTCGGTCTCTGCTCCGAAAAAGTCCCGGCCAAAAAAGCTTAGGACGGAGGCAATCCTGGTCAAACCCTAGAATTATATTCGTTTTTCCATTCAATAAAATTCATAATGTATTCATTTGCAATTGTTTAACTACTATATTACTCTAATTGTTTTTTGTTTTTTTGTTTTTTTTGTTCTGGAGGTCTTGGGATATGAATGAATGTTATATCTTACGTGTTTTCATTCGTCGTATACTTATCATCCCATACAGTTTAACTGTCAGGCGGTTATCAGTAACCAATATGGTATAGGCCGAAATTGTTTGGGTTGAATGTAATCACTAGCCGAAACTGTACCCAAAAACTGTTTGAAAACAAGTAAATAAACCATCCCAGTGGGTTTTAAGCTTAAAATGTAAATTCAGGTGTCAAAAAACCATAATAAAATCTCTGCGTAAAAAAATTGCTTCTCTTCACTGGGAAATAGTTTGTAGCTATGTTGATCACCCTATAATTGTATGCCAACAAAAATTTTCTCTTTTTAATATTGTAAGTACAAATAATTTAGAAGCTTGATGGTGAGGGTCAATGGCAATAGAGTATAATGCCCTGACGACTCCGCTCAATATTGTGGACGCGTCTGCGAACGCCACCTAGTAAATTATTTTTGGAACTGTCCCAAATAATTTTTTTCATCCTTATGCACTTGTACTGGTACAATATGTTTCAAAAGATTTTTATACATTTATAAAACATACTGCTTTCATTGAAATAGAAAGTTTGGTCATCGTGGTTAAATGGGAACTGCCTTGTTTTGAGGTGCAAGCATGAAACAGATTTTACTTGAAAACCGTTCGAGATAGAAAAGAACTAAACATTAAATACAAAAGTTGTAGGTAATATCATTCTACACTGACGGTTTCCACCAAATTTAAGATCCAAGCATTAGTTTAGCTTATACATGCCAAAATATAAATGCATACATGGTAGAGTTTCACCGGAAACAGCTTTCACCCCCCTAAACCCGCCTTAAATTTTGAGTTTTGTAAAACCCCGACTTATTGCACAGCTACACCATACAGAGACCCCCTATGCCAAGTTTGGTAGTTCTTGGTTGTATAGTTTGTGAGATATAGTGATCATCTGCCAGTCAGTGGATTTGCCCTTTATAAGTATAGATTAATACTTAAAACTTTACTACTTTATTCTGAAATGGCGACCATACGAATGTTAGTATTTTATTTAAGCCAAGTATGAATGGGGATGAATATAGGATAAGTGGCACGATCTTGTAGTCTTGTTAGTCACTAAGGCCGACACGTTCCTTAGACACTGCCCATTCAGCCAATGGCAACTAAAGGGACCTACAGTTTATAGTGGAATCCGAACCATATTTTTGCCTTGTAATTGACAAATTGGTCTAATTATCAGGATAGCAACTGCGGATCGTCGTAGTTGGCATACTCATTAGTGCGGACGTTAATCCACACCAGGGAGTGTCGCATCCACAGTGCATGCCTATAATTATCCACAATTCGTGACCTCCAAGTAGCTAGGCTACAGGACTATGAACAGAATTTTAATTTTAAAATACTAGCTACTTGGGATGTATAAAAAAATAAAATGAAAGCTCAATAGAGCAATGGGGGAATTGCGGCACCATCTTCAAATTGAATGCTTCGAATTTTACGTCTACTTCCCCGTAGCCTAAGCGAAACTGCTCGAATGATGGAAAGCTGGCTTTGGATCCTCAACCATCCGATAATTTGGGAGTATGGTTTTACAGCCAGGGCTTCGCTTGTTCTCCTCTGAAACGCTTCATGTTTAGTATTTGTTAAATAGCCGTTGGTCATATTCTGTAAAAGAAAGGCCATTGCAATTCCATACTGCTGCAGTAATTTCTGTTTTGTACTATTCCAAATTTGACCTCCGGAAACCGAAATCAATGAAGAAATAAACGGTGTTAGCAATCTGGCACACATTTCTCCCATTCGCTTGTCAGCAACCTTTAGCGTGGGTAAGATATGGGAGTAACTATGATATTTTATAGGGAAAATCACAAAAGTCGCAATAGCTTTTTAGCCGTAATTTTTACAGCAATAGGTTGCAACATTTTCTTTAGAATTATAAGGACCATAACAGACGCATTTGAATCAGATCTGGTTTTTTTAAATCCGATTTTCTATTTTTTATGGGTTTAAATGGGGAAATAACATAAGTTACAATAACTTTTGAACCATAATTTTTACAGCAATGGGACTCCTGTGCTCAACTATTGACTGGAAGGTTTTTTCCGATATTGTCGTATGTTACCCTACAGACCAGTAACTGTTCAGCCTCCTGGTATCCTCGAACGAGGTCAGTGATGATGCTCATCTCATCAGCTGATCCTCGCAGATGGAAACAGGTGCAGAAGAAGCGATGTAGCAGACGACACATCAGCGACCTCTTCACACGCACACTCACTGACACGTCTGAAACACAAACACACTACTTTCAACAGCTGTAAAACAACGTGTTTAAAATACAGATACAATTGATGTGAACATAGACTAGTTATTGGTGCCATTTTGAATCAGATTCAAACTTTGTGGGTACCGGTACTTGAGACGTGTCACATCGAGTTTTTGTGGACGTTTGAAATTTTGAGTTTCTGTAATAAAAAATATTTTTTTTTACATTTTATTCCTTTTGTGTATGGATTTATTTTATTCAAATGATCGAACCTAGTAACCTAGAACACATTTAATGGCACCTTAACATAGATGTTATCTCCTAGTCTGTGATTTGATGCATATTTACTTTTGACTAATTTAAATTGTCATATGGTTTTGTTTTGTTGTTGTCATAATAGTTTTATATGAGTTGTTGAAAATAGAAGTGTGGTTTTAAAAAGTCTAGTTTTTTTCTAATTTTATCTTTATAGTTTTCATCACTTTAAGAAGGTAGGTGTGTAGTGTAAAACAACATTTGGCGACCGTGACAGGACTTGTTTTTCACCTATCTCTATGATGGAAAATCTAAAGAAAAATAGAACAGTATATAGGGCTTATTTTTCTAAAACATTGAACAAACTAAACAGTTTAGTTGAAAATGAAACCACAGACAAAATTGAAATTCAAACCACTCTAAAGCTTTTGGAGATAAAGATTGATGAACTCCAGGTTTTGAATTCTCAGATCTTTGATTTGTTATTGAATAATGATAATGTTTCTGAAGATAAGCTGTTAGCTGAAACAATCTTAGCTGGAGAATATTTAGCTTTGTTTGAAGCTGTAAAATTAAGAGTCCAGAATTTACTACAACAAAGTAACGATGTAGTTAGTGTTCATTCTGGATCTTGCTGTAACAATGCTAGTAAGAAGAAATTTAAGCTCCCTAAAATTGAGATCAAAAAGTTTGATGGAGAATTGATCAATTGGCTACCTTTCTGGAGTCAAATTAGCAAAATTCATAGTGACTCAGACATTGATTCAGAAGATAAGTTTCAATATTTATTGCAATCCATAGTTACCGGATCAAGAGCTTTTGATGTAGTTCAGAGTTTTCCTCCAACTGGTGCAAACTATCCAAAAGCAATTGAATGTTTGAAAGCCAGATTTGGTAAAGATGACCTATTGGTAGAGGTTTATGTCAGGGAACTCTTTAAAATTGTTTTACAAAATGCTCTAGGAGGCAAGAACACAATGAACTTACAAAGTTTATATGACAAACTTGAGTCTCATATGCGTGCATTAGATACCTTGGGAGTTACAACAGATAAATGTTCCTCCATGTTATACCCGTTAGTTGAAAGTTGTATGCCTGAAGATCTCTTAAGGGCGTGGCAAAGAAGCCCTTTGAAAGTAGGTACAGACCCTCAGGAAAGACTCAACAATTTAATGAAGTTTATGTTGTCTGAAGTTGAAGGGGAACAGAGAATCGGTCTAGCCATGGCAGGTTTTGGGATAAGTAGCTCTGGGAAGGAGAAATCTTTTAAAAGGTCACCTCGAACTCAACCAGGTAAGATAGACATACCAACAGCTTCATGCCTCATGTCCTCTGGTAAAACTCAAAACTCTTATACAAAGTGTGTCTTTTGTGATAAGAATCATAAGAGTAGTAACTGTTTTGCTGCTCAGAAATTGCCATTGTCTCATAAGGTGTCCACTTTAAAGGAAAAGAGGTGCTGGTTCCTTTGCTTGCAGCCTGGTCACCGTATTAAGAATTGTAGAGCTCATTTGTCATGTTCTAATTGTAAAAGGAAACATTATCCTATAATGTGTCCTAGTATTCATTCCAAAGAAGTAGTGAATGAGTGTGTAAGCAAATGTGTTGATGAGGTATCTAAAGAAATGACAGTAGTGGAAGATACCGCTTTGGCCAATAAATCAAGTAGCAAAGTGAAAGTGTTTCTGCAAACAGTTAAGGCAAGATTAAGAACCCCAGGTAGTAATCAATTTGAGACTGTTCGCATTCTTTTTGATTCTGGTTCACAGCGTTCTTACATTTTAAAGGACTTGGCTGAAAAAATGAATTACGAAAGCTTAGGAGAAGAAACAATCATACACTCTCTTTTTGGTAATGTCAAATCTGGTGAAGTAATTCATAACAGACATCGTGTGTTTCTAACCAGTCAAGATTACAGTTACAACTGCAACTTTGAGGTATTGAGTCAAACTACCATATGTGGGGAAATTCCACCTGTTACCGAAGGTCCCTGGATACAGGAACTTTTAGAGAAAAATGTTTCTCTGACTGACATACATGAGACCGAGCTACCAATTGGTATTTTGATTGGAGCGGATATAGCGGGTAAACTATTCACTGGAAATATGATTCAACTGAAATCTGGACTAGTGGCTATGGAAACTCTTCTGGGATGGACACTGATGGGTAAGGCTATAATTAGTTGTAGTACAGGTTCAACTACACTCTCCACTGTTGTAACATTTTTTTTTTTTTTTTTTTTTTTTTTTTTTTTTAACTTAATTTTATTTTACAATCTGTTCAGTACTTTGAACAATTAGTAAAAGGGATAATATAAATAAGTGTCTTGACCAAGAATCTTCCCTGTGAAAGATCTTGCAAAATTAAATAGTCATGTCATAACTAAAACTATACAAATCGGTATGGGAGTTCTAGAACTTTCACAATTTTCAGTCTGTTGGGAAAATCACTATTGTCCAGCAAATTAACGGCTATATTGTTCGGGTGGGTTTCGAGTTTTTCTTGATAGTTCTTGCTAATTCTTGTTATTTCTTCAATTACTGTAGGTATTCTGAAATCTTCATGGATTGTTCGATTCGAAACAAACCACGGAGCATCAACTATTCTTCGTAGCGCCTTTGACTGAAATCTTTGAATAATTGCTAAGTTGGATTTACTTGCCGTTCCCCAAAGCTGTATCCCGTACGTCCAAATAGGTTTGATCATAACTTTGTAAAGTGTGAGTTTATTGGTCAACGAAAGCTTAGATTTTTTGCCTAGAAGCCAGTTGAGTTTACGAACCTTCAAGTCCATTTGTTGTCTTTTACACCAAATATGTGTTTTCCAAGTTAATCGTTTATCCATATGGAATCCTAAATACTTAACGCTGTCCACTTCTGTCAACGCTATATTGTTCAAAGTAACTGGAGGGCAGTTTTCTTGTCTCAGCGTGAATGTTATATGTAAAGATTTTGTTTCATTAACTTTAGTTCTCCATTTTTTTAGCCACAGTTCGAAATCATTTAATGCAACTTGCAATTGATTTGAAGCATCTTGAGGATTTTCGTGAATGGAGAGAAATGCAGTATCATCCGCAAACGTAGCAACCGTAATATTTTGGCCCACGGGGATGTCGGAGGTATATAGTAGATATAAAACAGGTCCAAGAACACTGCCTTGGGGTACTCCAGATTGAATAGGCTTCAAGTCGGTTAAAATTTCTTGAAATTTAATCTGGAAGAATCGTTCATTTAAGTAAGATTTTAACAAACTGTAAAAAGAATGGGGGAGCAAGGATTTAAGTTTATACAGAAGTCCAGTGTGCCACACTTTATCGAATGCCTGTTGTACATCCAGAAATGCAGCAGAACAGTACTTTTTTCTTTCAAATGAATTTTTAATGATGTCTACTAGTCTGTGGGTTTGTTCAACTGTAGAGTGTCCTTTCCGGAAGCCAAACTGATGCTCAGGAATCAAATTTAAGTCTTCTATAATTGGGTTCAATCTTCTTAGGATTAGTTTTTCAAATAATTTGGATATAACAGGAAGCAAACTTATGGGTCTGTAGGACGAGACCTCATTTGGTGGTTTGCCTGGTTTTGGAATGACCACAAGTTGAGCTATCTTCAATTGAACTGGAAAATATTCTAGCCGTAATATTGCGTTAAATATGAAGGTCAGCAATAATATTCCTTTTCGTGGCAATTCTTTCAGAATCCTGCCAGTGATTAAATCGTATCCGGGACTTTTCTTTGGGTTTATTTCCTTTTGTATTACTTTTAGAACTTCGGACGGTGTACAGGGTGATATAGGCAAAGATAATTGATTAGGTGAATCCAAATATTCAAAAATATCACTCTCGTCGTTTGGTGGATTGGGAAGTAAGGGCTTGAATACTTCTGAAAAGTAATTTGAGAATATACTTGCTTTCTCCATGTTAGTTTTGGCCCAATTTCCATCATTTTTCCTGATAGGTGGAACATGTTGTACTGGGCGCTTTACGTACCTCGTGGATTTCCATAAGGAGTAATCTGTGGCTTCAGTTGGAGATAAATTGTTGGTAAAGTCGGAAAACCATTCATTCTTTAGATTTACTAAACATCGTTTTAAAGTTTGAGCTGCATGATTAAACCTATTTTTATCAGCTGGGTTTCGAGTATTCTGCCAAATCCGTCTTAGCTTGCGTTTCTCAGCAATTCGTTTTTTTATAAACAAAGGATAGTTTAACATCAATGTTTATTAATGATGCTGACATATCGGAACTGTGGAGATTAGACACTATAGGCATTACTGATACAAGTGAATCAGTTTCCAAAGAGCAAAAGGCTTTGGCAGTTAAAAAGCATTTTATAAAAACTACCACTATAAATGAAGAAGGTCGATATGAAGTAAGTTTGCCCTGGGTTGATTGTCATCCTCCTTTGCCTAGTAACAGAGAGATAGCCGAAAAGAGGTTATCAACAGTTGTAAAGAAATTGGATGGTAACAATTTAACCGAAGACTATGAATCAGTTTTTAAACAGTGGTTAAGTGATGGCATCATTGAAGCTGTACCTTCTGACGATTTGAACAACAACTTTCACTACCTGCCACATAGACCTGTAGTGAAGGAGAGTAGTATTACCACACGAATTCGTCCAGTGTTTGATGCATCAGCAAAGACCAAGTTTTCACCCTCATTGAACGACTGTATTGAAAATGGACCAAATTTAATTGAACTGATTCCTTCTGATATGATGCGTTTTAGGGAAGGGAAGTTTGGAGTTATTGCTGATATAGCAAAAGC